TTTTTTTTTAATTTATTTTTTTGCGTAAATAAGAACAATAACTCTTCTCGACTCCCTTGTTCTTTTTTTGTGAATAAGAACGACGACCATACTTCTGTCTTTTTTTTAATGAATGATGAATAGTATAATCTACAACAATGAATACGTCTAATTTCTCAAAATATTAAACAACAAATGTATTGTCAAATGACCAATAAAAACCCTCTCGAACTCTTTAATTATTTTTAGTTTAACTACCATATAATCCAATCTTGTATTATATAATTGACAAAAGGATGATTGAGTCTACGTCAAAAACTAATATATAATGGACCGTGGAAAAAGTCCGGTTTCAACTCTCACGATAGGAACTATGGGATATCTTGGTTCTGAGTACCTTCAATACGGTAAAGCAACTGAGAAAGCCGATGTTTTGAGCTATGGCGTAGTTATTCTTGAACTAGCCAGTGGGAGAAGGCCGATTGAGAGGGAATCAGAAAGCCATAAATTGGTGAACTTAGTGGATTGGGTATGGAAGCTGCATTCCGGAGGAAAGATAATCGAAGCAGCGGATAAAAACATAAACTGTATTTTCGGTGAAAAAGAGATGAAAACGCTTCTGCTTATAGGCCTCTGTTGAGCCAATGCTGATAGAATGGAATGGCCTCCAATGAGGGGAGTTCTTCAGATCCTCAACAATGAAGTAGAGCCTATGATGGTGCCAAAGGCGAAGCCGACTCTTAGTTTCTCTAAACAGTCTTTTTCTGAAGTATTGATGACAATGTCTTAGATTGTGAAGACAGTGTGATGCCTGAATCTGAGTTTAAAATCAAACGAGTGAAGTAAGATTTTGACATGTACTGACATAATATTCTGTTATTTTTGTACTTTTTTCGACATGTAATGATATAATATTTTTGCCCCCCTCTGACTTCGCCCTTGAGCACAGTTCTGTACTTATGGTTTTCTTGATGATAATGCATTCTGTAAGTGAAAATGAACAACAGTTTTAAGCTATCGCGTGATCACCCTTCTGTGCTATGGGAAAAATAAGCGTACGAGCGTGAATTTTGAGTGATTAAAAGTAGTTGGAATTCAAGACAACGACCCTTTGAGTTGCAAAAGCTGTTGAGTGTGGGAGCAACTGGTATTTGATTATCTTCATTTTTAGGCATAGAACTGGACCCAAACTACAGAGTGACACCTAGAATTAGTAAGGGATCAGCCTACTATCTTGCAATTTAAAAACCTCTCATTATTGCTCGTTTGGAGAAAGAAAATCGACATCGCTAAAATAGTTAATAAAAACTTAAGTCAAAATCAACAATTAATTTTAATTATACATTTCTTAAGATCCACAACTTTTATCAGCTTTTCAATCATACACTTTAACTTATATCAAAATCTAGTAAAAAATTGATTTTTAGCTACTTCAGACATGGGCGAATTATCACCGCACGATGTTCAAAGAATTATGTCATGTTTGATGAGTTAGATAGTACCGTATTGTAGATAATATGTTCTTTCATATTGAGATGGGATGATTGAGTCTACATCAAAAACTAATGAGCTTCATGCACACCACTTAAAAAATAGCAGCTAAATTTAGCGTTTGTTTGATTTAATTTATTTTAAAATTATTTTTCTTAAAACTCATTTTTAATCATAATTTTTACCGTAATAATTTTGTTCCTGGCCCATAATTTTTTTGTTTTACTTTTTAATTACACATTCTCTAAAAAAATAAATTTTCGCTTCAAATAATTTCTCCCAAACATTACGCTTAACAATTTAAAAAAATGGTATGCTACATAATTGTGTAGAATGTAAATAAGCCCAGTTGTATATACCCAATTAATAAGGCCACCCCGACCAGAAGAAGATGTACAGCAGACTACCATCCCACATCGAAAGATAACAAAAACATCCCAGTTATAATAAGCAAACACCAGAACTCAAGAATGTAAGATCGTTGTCAGTTGGTTGTGCCATCTGAGGTGGTCTAGCAGTTATCTGACAGACTTCTACCCAACTTTTTTGTCAATTGGAGTCCTTTGTAAAATGGCTAAAAGAAGCAGATGAAGAGGAATAAGTTTGTAGTATCAGAATAGTTAATCAGTTGTAAGGCTATTATAGACTAACTAAAGAAATTGAATGGACGTGAAGCATTATTTATTTTAGAATATGAGAAAATATCAATTGTGATTTATAGTAGATCAACGTTTGGAGCTATTTTGGTATGGTTAATACTTGACTTGACCATAAAAAGTAACATTTTTTAGAGTTTTGATACTTTTTGAGCGTTTGTCAATTTTTGAGTGTTTGTTACCTTTTATGTATTTGTCCCTTTTTTTAAAATTTATGTCGCTTCTTTTAGTGACACACGTCCATTTTTAATAAACGTAATATTGTATGTCACTTTTTAATAAAAAAAATGAAGTTGGACTTTAAAATTCCTGTTTAGTATTTAATGGGTAGACTATGTTCAATTGGAGCTATTGTGGTCTGATTAATATTCGATAATTTTCTCGAATTGGTAGATTGTGTTACTCTTTTTTAGTGTTTTGTCATTTTTTAAGTGGTCGTCACCTTTTGAATTTTTGTCACTTTTTAGGATTCGTCACTTTTTTCGAATTTCTGTCACTTTTTTTAGTAATTAACAACACATTTTTATTTTTTAAAAAAAGACACTAAGCTTGAAAAAAGTGACATTGCGTCACTTAATTTTACACAACATTATTTATTTATTATTTTCTATCACTTTTGTTTGAGTGACAAACGTTACTCTTTAATAAAATAGTGACATTTAACTTGAAAAAGTGATATTGCTTCACGTTTTTATAAAAATGTGACACATAAGTGTGTTTGGTACGTATTAAAATGAGAGAATGCATTTTTTTTTAAAGTGATGTGATAGGGAATATGTGGTTGAAAAAAAATGAAAAGTTATTGATGTGATAGAAAATATTATTTTATTGAAAAATGTGTGGTTAAATATGAGTAGAAGAATGACAATGAAAAAAATAATGTGTGTCAAATAGAGGCTTAACTTGAAAAGGTGACATTGTGTCCCACTGTATTAAAAAGCGACACTTAATTTACGCAGTTTTTTTTACTTCCAAAATGCTTTGTATATGATTTTTTAAAAGACTACTAATTTTAGGGGTACTTTTGTAAGTTATCCAAAAAAAATAGGAAAAATTAGTTACGGGCTCACGGGTCAGCCCGCTGCCACCACCCCTCCACACAAACGTAACATCCATTAAAACTCGAGGAAATTACATAAAACCCTTACAAATTCAAAAATCAAATCTAAACTATATTTAATAAAAAATCAGGTATTACATAATA